GGTGTAGCATTAAGCATGGTTGGCAAATCAAGATTTACTTTGATTTTTACACTCACTATTCGTATCATTACTATTAGTGCAAGTGCATTATATATATTTTTCCCAACAGAAATATATGTCCTATTTGTCCATAGCATAGTGAGAGCTGCTTGCTTTTTCTCCTTGAGTCTGAAAATATGCCCCATCAGATATGGGGATTGAGAGTCAGAGGCTGCTGGCAGACACAACAAACAGTTGAGTATTCAGCAACCAGGCCTTAAAGGCAGTGATAGCACATTCATAGTGCACACTGAACTGACTGACATTCCAGAAAATTAAAATGACACTGACATAACACAGTCAGTTGCAGTGATGCAGCAGTTATTTATATTTTGCCAGTACTATACTACAATATAAATAGAAATTCCCTTTATAGTCATTGAAAAAAAAGAGTTATTTGTCACTTTAATTTGTACTGTAAAGGTAATACAGATTTCTCATACAAATTAGCAGTAAACCCAGTATTACAGTCAATATAGACTTAATTTAGTCATTATGGAAATACACTATACAGCTAGGAAAGCAGAATTTTTGGCAAAAATATAATGATGGGGTCTACAACAAGCCTTCAGAATCCAAAATAGGTTCACTGTAGGAAAAAGTGTAAAACTAACATATTTTAGTTAAGCTTTAATTTAACGTTTGTGGTTAGTGTGAAAATCACTGTATCTGCACATCTACACTGATATAAAACTATTATATACAGCTTACATACAGTTAAGTCCACAATTATTCATACCCACGGCAAATTTTGATCTTTAGTAAATTTCAATTTGACGAATAGGTTGCTTAGAAGATGTAGAAAGGCCATAAAGCCTTATTTAAGTGCCAGTGGCCACAGTGCAAAGCATCATCAAAAAGTACAGGGTGTTTCACACTGTGAAAAGTCTCAAAGTGTGTGATAGAAACTCTAGAAGACAAAAATGGGAAAGGCCAGAGCAAATCCAAGCATCACCACCAAGACTATCCTGATAAGTCTGAGCAGCTCTGATACCAACATCTCAGTCAGACTCTCCAGCAGACAATGAACATGCCTGGTGTCCATGGACGGAGACCAAGAAGGACTCCACGTCTCCAAAACAGCTTTTGCAAAAGCTCACCTGACTAAGAAGAAAGCTTTTGGTCATCAGTTCTGCGATCAAAGAAGTTGAACATGGAGTTGACTTTGGTCAATCCCAGGAACACCGTCTCCACAGTCAGAAAAGGGGAAGAGCATGTAATGCTATGGAGGTGTTTTTCAGCTGATGCACAACCTTTTAAAATAAATGGCTTCATGAGAAAAGAGGACCACAATAAAATTCTGGAGGAAAACATCAGGCAGTCTGTAGAAAAACTTGGTCTTGGGCAGCATTGAACCTTCAAACGAGTCAATGATCCAAAACATACAGTCAAAGTGGTCAACAGAAAACAATATCAACACGCTGGAGTGAACCAGTCAGAGTCCAGACCTGAATCTCATCGAGAATCTGTGGAGGAACTGAAGGTTCCACAAAGACCTGGAGATCATCACAGAAGGACAGTGGAGCAAAATCCCAGACGAGACATGCAGAAAGCTTGTTAGCAGTTATAAGAAGTGTTTCATTGTTGTACTGGCATTTAAGGCTAAGTAAGGGTATGGATCATTTCAGATGTGGCATTTGTAGTAAATATGTACAAAAAAATGTGTAGAAATATTAAATTTTATCACTTGTTTATGTCATTTCCAACAGAAAAAACCTATTGGTCAAATAAAAATTCACTATAAATCAAAATGTGGTATGGGTATGAATAATTTTGGGCTTAACTGTATTGTATTATACTGTATAATAAGCAAAGTCCCGACAGGAATCAATACGGTTTTGTGATTCTGAAACAAATATTTTCCGACTAAAGTGTTAAACCTATGTAGTGTGAAATCCTATCGACCAGTCTATGATTCACTGCACTCAAAGAAAAGACCTCCTGGGAGTTAATGAAATGTCTAATTCTTGGAAGGTCTTCTCTCACAGTTTGTTCACACAGTTACAAAGCAGACAGAGGAGCAACATGATACATCAATGAGAAAAAATACACAAAAAGCAAAAAAAAACTGCAACAGTATGTTCAGTCTATGTGCTTTGCAGCTAAAGCAGTCACACAGGTCTTTGTTGGAATGATGTTTAGGCTTAGTGAGACTACACATCATGAGAAAACACTGATAGGGTATCTGGACACTTTCTGCTTTTATCAGTATTGTCATCATATATGTGCCATCATATAAAAACCAATCCCTGCCACAGACCACTATCTCTTAATTAAAATCACTGATGTGCCACATCACCCACAATGTCCAAATATTAAAAGGGATCCCTACCGTGGTTTAAAGTGCATGGCAAAATCCATTTAAAAATGTGATTTGTCTTATGGTGTATTTCAGAATCAGCAACCCTAACCTGGCTGCATAAAGATTTAGTCTAATTTAAGCATTTAGGAATTGTGTGTGTCATGTAAGAAACAACATGTTCACTGTTCCAGGACTTGCTGACACACTCCATGTACGTATAGCAAAAGCCATTTCTTTAACACACACAAACTGGGGAAGTGTGTAGAAGGAGAAGACCAATGTACTGTATCTGAGAATAACAGAATAATTGCCTTCCCTCCTGCAGGCTCTAAAAGGCTGTCATAACAACTAGTTTGAGAGCAAACGCTGCGCTCTGTACTAACAGCAGCATTAACAGCTTCTTCAGGAGTATGGCTTGGTTATAAAATGAAACAAGGACAGAATGTCAGACATATCCACTTCTGCTTTATTTGCCCTTTTTTTCTGCTTCCTACAAAGTGCAGATGCAGGGACAAGGCTCATGCTCTCACCTTCAGAGAGAGAGTGAGGCAGCAAAATCTGAGCCGGCACATAAACCAGACTCAAAAAAAAAAAAGAAATACAAACATAAATGTATTAAACACAGAGAAAATAAAAAAGAATCAATGTGCAAAAAGAATAAAAGCATGAATGTGCTCTGCACAAATCACAGGTGAGTGCTGGTACATTTATTTTACAGGTACGGATTCTCGCAACTTAACTTTAACAAATAACGAAACGCTCTGAATATTCAGCAATATTCAAAATTCACGTTGCTTGATAAGCAGATTAATTTCTTGTTACACAGGATTCTTCGTTGTCGAAGGAAAATTTTAGCGTCACCACATACTGTATATTTGTTTGAGTGAAATAATAGTCAGGTTGAAGCTGTCTCACTTGAGGATGGAATTCATTCATTTTTTTCAGTGCTGTTGACAAGTTTCTGGAATATTTTACAGCACAACAATGATTTATCAGTTTTTGCATAAATATTTTTGTAAATTAGCAAATCAGGCCATGCTAAAAAAAAATCCAAATTGAGTGATTACATGAACACAAGGAGCTGTAATCAAAATACAGAAAATGTCATTTTAATCGACAAAGACACAAGATCTGTAAAACAAGATAAAGAATCTGATAAAGAAAAATGTTTTATTATTCACTGTATGACAGACAAATTCAAAAGTGTATCTTACTTCACTGTAAACCTCAACTGGCTTCAGCGGGTTCACAGATCACCGGTCAGCAGCTTTGATTGAGCAGATGTTTGGACATTTAGAAGTTTCTAACGGTTTTAATTACCACTTTTAGTGCAATATCAGTGTAAAAAACTAAAACTGCTAACACTGTTCACAGTTTGTGACCGCTCTGATCAATATTGATCCATTACCAACATCCGAGACATTGTTACAGTTTCAGGACAGAGTGCAGGAAAGTGGCTGGCTGTTAGTATAAGAAGCACTTGCTCCTTTGAAATTCCATGAGCAGCCCTGCTACCAGTCACTGAATGTGTAGAGTAATAAATGTCACATTTGTTAGAAAATTCACACTTTTTTAACCTCAACAGCAGCAAACACAGATTAATTTAGAAAGGTAGTCATTGCTATTATTTAGAAATACAGTCATGACTCAATAATCCGACACTAAATGTAAAACCTTTTATGTCGGATAGCAAGGCTGTCGGATTGTCAAGACGGAGGTCAAGATACAAGAAGGGCTTGAGGCTTGAAGGGTAATTTGTTGTTAATATTCATTGTTTATAGTTGTTATAACTAGTGTATTGTTAGAACACTACACATTGATGGATTTCCCATCTAATTGACCGGTGCGCTTGTGCACGGGCCTGTCGGTTAACATCAAAATTAAGTAAAGCTACGTTCAGACAGCAGGCTAAAGTGACCCAAATCCGATTTTTTTTTTCCCCTATGCGACCTGTATCTGGTCTTTTCAACACAGATCCAATTAATGATGAATACCCGAATATTCCACGAGGTCAGGGGGGACACTTCCACCCCAGAGGTGTGCTCCAATGGGGTGGAAGTGGGCAGAATGCACAGGCAGCACTTGGCTGCTGATGCCAGTTTAGGATAGTGGTCACAGTTCTGTTTCCAACATCGGCGGTGGCGGCGGTGACAGGAGAGTGGCAGATACGTTTCACCGTTACCATTCGTGTTTACATCCGCAAACACTAAGCACACGCACTGCATGTGACATCATCATGTCCTCTTCTGCGCATGCGGGACACTTTTGGGTCGTATGAAGTTCATGCAGGAGGTCACATACAAGTCGCATTTAACTGGAAATGTGAACAAACTCGCAAAAAAATCGGATTTCACAAAAAAATCCGAAAGAGGCATTAAGTCCTGCAGTCTGAACGTAGCCAATCTGTCATATTGTTAAGTCAGATAATATGCCGTTATCCTTATTTGTGACATAAAATGTCATGTCGGAGTCAGAATCCAAGGCTGTCAGTATGTTAAGGCTATTTTTCATGGGTTTCGTTAGTTTTTCCTAAAAACCTGTCGGATAGCAAGGTTTTCGGATTGTTAAGGGTCGGATTACATAAACATGTGTCATGCTCATCTGGTTGATCACAGGATCCTAATTTAATATGTCAAAGATCCAGTGTGTTCCCACTCACCTCCTTTCCGAGGTCTTCTCTGATGACCTGCCGGACCTCCTGCATGCTGCTCTGAGGAGCTCGGCTGTGCAGCACCTTCAGTGTGGATGTGTACTCCTCAGGCAGCAGGTAGTCCAGACCACCCAGGTGCTGCCCAACTTTGATAAAAGTACCCCGGTTGGCACAGCACAAGTCTCGAAGACGCTCTGCTGATCGCTGATGCACCTGCAGGTGATTGAATAGACGAAAAAAATAATCAGAAATAGAATAAAAAGTGTCAAGGCTACAAGGAAATGCTGTGAGGGTTATTAAAATCAAATGAGTTCACAAAGCAAATGTCATGGCCTTTTGACATGAGACAGCTAATGTGCAATGAAAGCATCCTTCCCTGAGGATGAAGCCAAACGCTGTCCACCCTCTCAGAACCTTTCAAAGAAGTTTAATTGCTATATACATGCTTAGACTGCCCTCACAGCAATGTTCATTTAATCCTCTGAAACCAAAGCCTGCTGGTGGGTTTAAAAGGTGCATTATTAAGAGGAAATTTTTTTTTTGCCAAAATTACACTATTGATCGTAGCAAAAACTGTAAAATCAGGAAGTATCATTGGATTTTCAACAGTCCTTGAACTAATCATAAGTGACTTTTAGTTTCACTGGAGAAAATAACCTAATCTAAACGATAAACTTGGCTATCTAATCCAAATTGCTTTAGTCTACAAATTTGGCAAACATAAACAGTTTGCACTTACGAGATTTTTATTTTTTATTTATTTATTTTTTTTAAATTCAGTGCTCTGGGAAAAATTTAAACTTAGCTTTCTGCACAGGAGCACTGTTATGTTGATACAGGACAGGGACAAACACAAAGCTGAAGTAAACACGACTGTCTAAAATGGCTTTGTATGCTGGAGCAGCAAAACTGCTCTTCAGTAAAAAAAACAGTTACAAACCAAAAAAGAAAAAAAAGATGAAACAAGAAAATAAAAAGAGAATAAAAATATGAATGTTTTGAAGATAATAGTTATTAAAAAGTTGAAAAAGTAAATCTGAACTAATTGAAACTAAAACAATTCAATGGATAAATAAAATGTACCATTTACCATGAGCAGGGATACAATCAAATGAGACACTATTTTCATTAAGGGGCAGAGAAGGTGTCGGTGATTTCAGTGTGTGTGTGTGTGTGTGCGTGTGTGTGTGAGTGAGTGTGTGTGTGTGTGGTGGTGGTCCCGTCCCGTCTGTCCCATTTGAACCAGCTGGAAGTGATAATACTTATAGAGAGTTCCTCTCCTGAGACCAGTGCAAATAAAAAGGCGTGAAATTAGCTCCCCTTAACCTCTGTAACCCCCAGCGCACAGACACACAAGAATCAACTCCGGCGCACACACACACACACAGCATGCTCCCACAGGACCGTTTGACATGAGTGTCATCTGGGCGATGATGACAAAGCAATGACAGAAACAAGTCACCAGAGATTACCAGATGAGCCTTTCTGCTCAGATATATACAAGGAGGCCTTTTCATAACAGCCACCGCTGCACCACGACCATGAATGTGGCTTATTGCACAAAAAAAATGCACATTTATTACTTATTACAATTTCCATGCTGGCCTGCTGTCGGAGTAAAGTCTACTTGATGTCAATCAAAACAATAAATTAATTTATTTAAGTCGAAGCTAAATATTCAAACAATGACTGATGATGATGGTGAACTTAACACACTTTTAGGACCATGTGTAGAAAAGGAACGACTGAAATATATATTTTACTTTCATACTGGATGAAATGAAAAATAAAATCCAAGAGAAAAATCCCAATTTCCCTTCGTGGGATTTAAAATAAACAAAATAGACTTTAAAAATTCTCTATCTGTCTGAATCAAATCTGTTATTTTATAATAGAGATCCCCCCTTTAATATTGGACTCTGGTCTTAACTGTACATTTAGTCCATATGATTATTTAATGCAAAATGTATTTCCTTCCTATGTTTTGTAAGAAAAACAAGAAATTTAAAATGTTGATATAAATCTGATATAGTACGCTAATTAGTAAGCTAATTACTAGTTCAGATAAAACTATAAATAAAACCAACGAAAATCATCTTGATTATTATTTAATATATTTTTTGGCCTTTTTGAAGTGATGTTCATGTGTATTTATCATATTTGTTTTGTTGTGTGGAGTACAGCTAGACAATGTACCTGATTAATAATCTCACACAGCCAGAACAAACTCTTAAATCTAAGCTGCTCCTGAAAAACAGTGAGTAGAATTGTTTAGGTGGAACATTTGCATACAAGGATGAGTCTGATAAATAAAATGGCTATTTCACCAAGAGCACCCAGTAGGGGTGCTTTCTGGCATAATACAGATCTTCTTTAAAATGTACTATTTTCATGGCCTAGGTTGCTGCTTAGGGGTTGCCGTTTCCCACAGTGAAGTTGATTTTGAAAACAGTAACACACAGATAGCCGACGGGGAGGAGAGGGCCGCGTGAAATGTGTCTCGGAAAACACTTCTACCTGAGGTCTACGTCCAGCTACTTAGATGACTGAATTAATTACAATAACATCTGTTTGTTCTTCTTCTTACTCTTATTATTGCACCAATCTATTACACATCACCTTCACATTGCTGATTACATAGAACAGTATTTTTTACATTTCATCCTGTTTTCCTGTGTACAGACATTATTATAAGCTAAGAGATCAACTGATGTGTTTCTTATTCAGGACTGAAACAGACCTTCAGTAATCAAGAAAACCAGTGGCCAATAATTGGAACTGATATACATTTGCAATGAAAATGAATAACAGCAACACAAATCTTTATTGAAGTGTGAACTTGCATCCTTCAGTGCTGACAGACTATTACTCGTGACGTGTAACCAATCAGATCGTGCTGTGAACGGGACAATCACACAAAGTGACTACAGATAGAGGGATGTGGCTGCATCAGAGCCAAAGTAGTGCATTTTAAAATTTGTTTTATCATGAATCAGTTTTTAAAAAATAAAACAATAAGGACAATTGGGAAAAAATGCTGAATATCGGATCTAATAATGTGTCAGGATGATAATTGGTCGATCCCTGTTGAAAGTATAATCTGAACGCAGAAAACCAATCAAAAGTGAATGCATTTCTGCATTTTAAATCCTGATGAGACTTAAAGAAAAATGTCTGGAAACAATTACATTAAAATTTGGAGCAAAGTGGCATTAATTATCAACATGGATGTTATGCCTATTATGAATATCATACTGTGGTGACATTCAGCACATTATGCATGCTGTCATTTCAGACTGATCAGCAGCCTCTGCCTTCAAACAACAAAGGCCATTTCTGGCGCAACGTGTTTGGAAGCTAATTGGAGGTTGATCAGAATGAAAATGTGGCATCAGTTTGCCAACGGCTTGCGGCCTAATCATCAGATCGATCATGGCTCCTCTGCCTCCCCTCTCTTCCAGTAATCAGTATGCTTTGTTGGAAGAAGGCGGGCTCACAGCTTGAGGATGACATCACCATGGCAATGCTGCTCGCTGACAGCCTGGGGGGAATGCTGCTCTGAGATAGGCTGATGCTCGCCACCGCCCACCAACTGCACACATGCGCAATTCAAGCGAACAAGACCGTTGGTGAATTAGACACATGGGTTAATTTGTGGCACAACACAGAGACACGGGAGCTCAGCGCAGAATGCCTCTGGGTATCTCTACACTCATCCTCTTCACGCATTGGCGAGGAGAGAAAATATAAGACTGGGGGAGAGAGAGAGAGAGAGTGTGTGTGTGTGTGTGTGTGTGTGTGTGTGTGTGTGTGTGTACACCTTGGAGGGTGGTGAGTAATGGATGAATGGGTGAGCCAATGAGGAAGCAAGACAGGAGAAAGATAGATAAAGCAAAGAGCGGGGAATGGGAGTAATAAGATGGGAAGGAAGAAAAGAAGGAACCTTGAATTGCTGTTAATACACAGTTGTGACAAAAACGGCTCAACTTTTCAATGGCAAATTTCTTTCAATTCAAAATCTATCTGCAACTGAATAAATAGAAAAAAAGACACTTTTTTAGACTTTGAAAAAATATATATTTACATATGGGAAAAGTGGCTTTTGAGCACATCTCTGTTATTGTATATGTCTGTTCTTGTCTTGCACTGTGGCAGGAATTCAGAATTGTCACCCATAGTTGTCCTGCAATTAAGAATGGATGAGAAATGACTGAAGTCAGTCTTTATCCATGCGAAAAGAAAGAATTGAAAGAAAAGGGGGGAGGAAAAAATGTTAGTGGGAAGATGTGCTCTATACTATAACCGCTAAAAATACAATACAACAGGGTTATTATTGTATATTATACAGAATGACAGCTGTGCTCACTGCAGTAATGCTGTGTAATGACTCCCTCTGTGCAAGAAGAAAAGACTTATCTTCTGAGGGTCTTTACATATTCAACCTTAATTCAATTTGCTTCAGATTTGTGTTCATATTTAATTCTATTTTTTTCTTTTATCTTGTACAGTAATTTGTATGCTCATATGTATATATATATTTTTTGAAAACAGTGTTTTTTCTTAGCTCATGCCTCTCAGTGTAAGGTGTGTGTGTGTGTTTTATGATATGTAAATTACTGCTGCAAAACTGCACTTTCCCTTAGGGAATAGATAAAGTACTCTATCTACCTATATTGGCTAATTGCTGTTTACTGGTAAGTAGGCTGCTTAGCCTGCACTGAGCAAAGCTGCAGAACCAAAAACTGTAAATGTTACCAACTGGCATTAATGAAGTGTTCTAAAAGAAAGAATAATGGAGACACAACAGCGACCATGTCACAGTCTTCTGTCTCTGTGATGAGAAGGACTGTGTGCTCCCTGGCTGAATGTTTTTGTACAGAAAGTGTTCTGTGTGTTCTGATGTGATTTGTTTGTTGTATGTTCTACCCAGTGAAATGATGAAATCCAAAATGTGTCTCAATGCTTCAGTACACTGAAAAATAAAAAACCAGCTCAGCCAAAACTATGTGAAGACATCACGTTATCAATCCTCCAAACCCCAAATCTCTGTGCTAGACTTTGGCATGTTTTCTTTAGATTTATTTTTTTCAAGATGAAAACTACATCATTTAGTTGAGCTTGAAACTTTGAAAACGAATGAAAGAAAAAAAAAAAGACAGAACATCGGACTTTCAGCTTTCAAACAGTCCATTAATGGATCACATCAGGAAAAT